GAACTGTTCTGGAACAGTGTTGTAAATACAACTTAACCACTGATTTCTAGTCGTGTCCTCTTTTGGAAAACCAAACAAAGTAGTTTCGCTTTCACAACGAAACACATGGCGGCCTAGCGTGAGCTGAGGCCGGGCTAGAGTGAGCAGCGGCGGCGGGGTTGAGAACGGCGCGGCCGGCGGATTCGACAAAGGAGTGGCAACCACATGTGACGATCCCAGACTGGACTCCGCTTCGTCCACGGTGAAAGCCGATCTGGCGATCCACAGCACTAAGTTGATGTATTTCCTCAGCGACCAGCACAGATCAGCTCCAGGCATGACGAAGCGGATAGCGGCGGCAACAATACTACAGCGAGAATAAAAGTTACACCTTCTTTCTTTGCGTGAACATTTGGGCAAATCTTCCCACATAGTGACGTAGATATGTGGGGCGTGTTAGAACGAGCCGTTTTAGTTAGGTGTGGTTAACTCTTAACTTTTATAAAGAATATCTCTTTGGATTTGAGACTTTAGTCTTTGCAACTTTACAGATCTTCTTTATGCACCAAGAGCTTGTAACACTCCAAAGAAAAAGGAAAAATTGAAAATCGCATCATATGACCCATTTAAAAATAACAATAAAATAAATAAATAACTAACCCCAAAATGCATGGTAGTGTACAATGAAGCAAGCAATACGCTAGTATTCTATTCCAAACTTTGCCTATGTGTGCAGTTACACAACAGAATTAAGTGGTCAAGCAAATTTAGTGGTCAGTCAAAATGGCATTAAACATTCATGTCACGAGATGTAACAGAGATTAAAGAGGCTGCCATGAGACTTCAAAACAGTACGGTTCCCAAGGACCAAATTAACACAGCAGCATCTACGGCAGGGGTCATCTAAATAGGATGCTAAACAACATTTATTTTCATAGTACAGTATAGAGCCCGACCGATATATCGTTTTGCCGATATTATCGGCCGATATGAGCCTGTCGCCGATATATCGGTATCGGCGAATATGCCGCCGATATGAACATTTGTTTTACAGAACATATAATGCAGATAAAATGCTTGAAATGGTGTAATTACTTAGTTTGTCCAGCAGAGCGCGCTCCATTGTTTGCTACTGGCGACCTGGATGAAACACTTTAAAGCTTTGAAACTTTGAACGGCCATATCTCCGTAACGGCGCGACGAATCTGCACCAAATTCGGGGGATCTCTTCAGCTCAAGGAACCCACTCGAACGCGAATCGAGTGTACGTCTCGAGGCCCTCTTTCGAATGAGACCACCTCCGCGTGGATAGCCCCCGGGGTTCGGGAGTTACGGGTGGTTAAATACACGGTCATTTTTCTTTATTTACCCTCAAAAAATGGAAGTGAAATGTGACAACATGCCCCGTAGGTGGGGTACATTGTAACATCTTACAACTAACACCCCGTTACTTTGTGCATCGCACTCATCGCAAGTTTATTGTTAAATTGTTAAATGCCCTTACATATCTCTGTCACAATTTTAAGTGTTTGATCACCACATTTGAGTGATCATTGCAAAAAATGTGTTTATGTATATATATTCTGTTTATGTCTATACTGTATTCTATATATAGTACCAGTCAAATGTTTGGACACCCGAATGGGAAAGTGTCCAAACTTTTGACTGGTACTGTACTATAATATACACAAAGAATATCGGCCGATATATCGGTATCGGCCTTTTTTTTTTACTCCCTAATATCGGTATCGGCCCCAAAAAACCTATATCGGTCGGGCTCTAGTACAGTATATAAAAATCTTTCACATAGCACACGGTTAATTAAACTATTTTAAAAATAGCACTTCATGTCAAAGTTTGTAAACCCCTGTTTTGACTTTCATTAGTGATTGCGCTCCACACCCAAACTGAATACCAGGTATGTAGCACTGATGCCATTACACTGGTTCAAAGCAAACAAATGACACCTATACCTTTTAAAGTCATTAGGCTGTACCTACACACCTCAGAAAGCCATTCTGTTCAGTCTAACAGGTTTGTGTGGATCAGACCGTACTAAGCTCTGTACAGGGTGTGGGCTCCACCACAAAGATTTGCATTTGAAGTGATAAAAGCACGAGTGAGTGTACAATGCTGATTCATCAACATCAGTGATTGCCATTCAATGGAGAAAGCACCTCACTGTCTGACAGAATACAGCTGTGAATCAATGAAATCCACTCTCCACTCTCTGTTCTACTTTAGCTCAAGCACTGATCTCACTAATTGTTTGGACAGGTGTTTGTAGTGGCTATACATGAAGGGAAAAAACACACACTGCATATTTCAACAATAGCAGCCTTCTCCTGTCAGTGCAGTAGATATCTGCAGGAAGAGCTGTGCAAACCACAGTTTCCATGTCACACTTGCTTTTTCTTTGTCTGGATTTGGACTGTAATTAGTGCTTGCTAAGGCAACCATCACTATCATCATATATTCCTCCAGATAAAATGCTGGTGCATGTGCTACAGCTGCAAACGATGACTCAAATCATGCAGTTTATTGAGGAGAGTTTTGCTATTACTACTTTATATAAGAATTATATCGTATATAAGGATGTCTTTTGACCTGGGGCTGTAAGCAACTACCTACAACCACCCAGAACACCGTAGCAACCACTTCAAAACCCTAGAAAACACACAGTAATATGACTGCCATATTTTGGCAGCAGAATATCAGAGAATTGGGGATGGGCTCTTTTGACCTGGGACTGAGTACTGAGGTCCATACGGGACCCCTGCCATATCTTGGCAGCAGAATATCAGAGATATGGGGGTAGGGATCTTTTGACTTATGGCAGTGTACAAAAACAAGCTCAAAAACCCAGCAGTGACTCCTCCACTGGCAAGCACCACTAATAGAAAATTTAAAGGTCCACTAAAGTGCCTTGAAACATGCAACATTATTCTATGGGGTAATGTAATTTAAACTGAAACAGGAAGACAGGGCGGGACATAGAACAGCTCCGCCCCCTTTAAAAAATTTTTTTTTTTAAATCGTCAAACGTGTTTCTTTATTCCAGCTCAGCCCGGAGCCATTGAGCTTGGTAACGCTGCATTTGACAGCCATCCGCTCTGTGCTATCATGTCTCTGGACCGGAGCAGTGCACGCTGCGACAGTTCACGCGAAACCAGACTTCAAAATATAGTTTAAAATGTAGTTGGGGATTGCGAAGCAAATAAATACAAGTGGACTATAATTTCAAATGCTAGCATACTGCTATTAAGTATTAATATATTTTTTTCATCTTACTAATGACAAACTTTTGAAGGGTAGTATGTGTGTAAACGTATATAATATTCATTAATAAAAGTAAATCACATATATTAATAAATATATATGCTAATCATGTATGCACAGACAATTCATACATTACGCACAAACATGCATTCTGCAAAAATAATCACCAAACATATACGACACTAATTGACGCACCATTTTGATTGGCTGGCAGGTCAGATCTGAGTCGGTGACAGGCGTGTCATCGCCCTCCACAACATAGATGCCTTTGCGAGCCAAGGCCTGGATGACTGACTGGTGGGACTGCAGAGAGGCCACCTGGTCGCCTTTGAGAATGAGGGCACACACGCGACAGTACAGCTCACATGACAGCAGTAACCGGATCACTGGGGGCTTAATGTGCTCCTGGTCATACTGGTCTGTGTAGAAAGGATCTCGCAGGTCTTCTGGGATGTGATCTGACAGGAAGACAAAACAATAAAATTAAGATATTAAGAAATTAAGACACTAATGAAATACTGAAGATTTTTTCAACTGTTATTGTCGCTACAACTCTTCTATGTCTGGCATCATATGCAATCTGCCAGCAATCCCTTGCTTTGTTGCCATTTAAAGGGGTCATGAATTGACAAAGCAAAATTCTCTTGATCTATTGACATATAAGAGGTCATTGTACTATAAAAACATTCAGTTTCAGAACTCAAAACTTTCTCGTTAGTCTAAAAACAGCTTATATTAAAGCCAATATGCCAAAATGACAGGTTGTGGAATGTGCCACTTTATGATGTAATAGTGTGGCTAAACACCACCTCTGCAGAAGATCACCGCCTGCTTCTACATCACTGCCTGTTTAGCCCCACCCATCGATTCATGCATGTAGTGTAAATAACAAGAGAGGCAAATGCAGGTCTATGTAGAAACCAAACGATAAAGATGCTCCGAAGACAACAAGATGCTGTGCAGTGCCAAGTTGAGAAAAAAACACAGTCTTTGCATCACCTTCCTTCTGATCCCAACATTAGGAAAGAGTTAATAGACTTTATTTTTAATGAAGTTTCAGACCGCGTCAGTAAGAACTCGGTCCTTTGTTCCCTTCATTTTACTGCGGATTCATTTACAAACAAGGCACATTTCGACGCGGGATTTTCAGAAAGATTGAAACTAAAAGACGATGCTGCGTGACGATATTGGATCTGACATCAACACTGCGGGTTGAGATCTGTTTTCATTACATGATCACTATTGCTTTGAGTCTGATTCTGAAGACAACAGGATGCTGTGCAGTGCCAAGTTGTGGAAAACACTGTCTTTGCATTGCCTTCCTTCTGATCCTAACAATATGAAAGAGTGGATGAAGTTTATTTTTAATGAAGATCCAAACCGTGTCAGTAACAACTCTGTCCTTTGTTCACTTCATTTTACCGTGGATTCATTTACAAACAAGGCACAATTTCGATGGAGGATTTTCAGAAAGATTGAAACTAAAAGACGATTCTGTGCCGACTATATTGTATCCGACAGTAATGTTGCACCACACAAGTGTGAGTAACTTATTACGTGGTCACTATTGCTTTGTCTGTTATTACAGATCGTTTGATATGAATGGAGTATTTATGCATTTTTAACCTAAATTACAGCAGCGTCCATCTGTGAAGGATGTAGGCTGTCAAACATACACAGTTTGCCAATCATAGCAGTGGGCGTTTACTTCTGAGCCTACAATCTGCCACACCTATTCAAACAGAGCGCTCTGATGAGGGAGCCAAAACAGGACAGAAAATAGCCAATTACTTCTAAATTATGATGTTTTTTGATGTAAAAATCTTGATAACATTATAAGTGGACCTCAGTGAACAGTACAAAATATGAATAAAAAAAAGGAAGTTCACGACCCCTTTAACGCATTATGAGTTAGACAATAGCGTGATGGTGTGAAAAGCAAGCCATAGGGCTCTACTCTCTTCATGAGATCGGTGCAGATGCAGATGAGCTATGGCAGTTGGGGTCCAGCTCAAACCACAAGGCTCAAACTGAGGGGAGGAGGGCCAGACGTGTCCTAATCTGGGCAGCCATTGCTCCGTCTTCTCCACACCCACCTCACAAACATCCACACCCCCTGCACCGGTATCGCCCAGGAGAAGCATATCATTAAATGTGAAGGCACTGGGTCCAATCATTCATCATGCATTTATGCAAACACCTGCCCCCTCTGATGTACCACATGGAGCTGTCTGCTTTGTTCCAAACCAGTATGTCTACCACAAGCAGGAGTTGTTTAAAGACTGGTACTTAATAGTAACCAAAGTCTTATTTTTTAATACATCAGATTTAAAGCATGAATATTATTCAATTATGACACAGTAAAGTAATCATAGCATTAATTGCATTAATTGCACAGGGATATCTACTTACAGCTAGGATACTATAATGAATGATTTTAGTATTAATTATTAGGGCTGGGTAAAACAGATCGATATCTGGATATTAATCGATTCTCATTTTTACGGAACTATATCGATTCTTAAATCCCAAGAATTTATTAGTCTAGCCTGTTTTCAGTTAAAGGGGTCATATGATGTGATTTCAATTTTTCCTTTCTCTTTGGAGTGTTACAAGCTCTTGGTGCATA